TTTTTTTTTTTTTTTTTTTTTTTCTTCAAATGAAAGAAACAATTTATTCGCGTTACTCATCGAGAGATTAGAATATTTCACGCTTCGATAATTTAATTGTACAATTCCGCGCATTTATAAAAAACCAAACAAAAAGATTTTTTTTCATCGTCACCGACGTAGAAACGAAATGGACAAAATGAAATGCGACGCGTACACCCCCACCCCCACTCCCCCCCCCTCTTTCCGTGTGCATGTGTGTGTGAATTTATTTCACTTGCTTTTGATATATAATATAACATGATATTTGAAAAGAAAATCTGATACGAAAACGAGGTTGAAAATAGAAATAAAAGTAAAAAATAAAAATAGAAAAATAGGATGGAAAAAAATAAAGAAGGAAAGAATGACCGATTGAAACATATTTCTCATATGGAAAGTGCGTTTCTGCATTCGAATCGAATTGACATATCACGTATATGTTGAATAGAAGAATATTTCAAGTTAGATTCAATCACATTTTAATTCGTCATACTTATTTCTAACTTTTTTTTTTCTTCAAAATCATTGGTATAAAGTCAATACTTTGAATTCGTATGCACGTAATTATTTGAAAATAACAGGATTGTTTAAATTAACAAGTATAAAGTAGATAGACCTAATTTATATTTGAATAATGTTTTAAATGATCTACTTTTATGTAATTTTTTTTTTTTTTTTTGTATAAAATACGCCGTCAACATTTTACTGGAGATTATGCATTTTGAACACTCTGTATATGTAAATACTATGAGTTTACGCTCACGTGTAAGAAAATGAAAGATCTACTCGAACGAACTAACTTTATCCTAAGTTTATGTGAAATAGTAAATTTGATATTTTACTTTGATACTCATAACAAAATTTACACTTTCTTAAGAAAGTTGTCTGTTAGCAAAAAACTTTTACACGTTACTTTTTCCTCGCCACTATTTTCGTCCCGAGTTTAATTTTTTAACTCGAAGAAAATTCAAATGCGTGCGAAAAACGAAAATATAAAATCCGTAAAAATGTTTGCGTTTACGTGTGCATGTGCGTGTATATAAATTAATGCGAAAAACTGAACATATTTACTCGCAAAATATAATCATTTTTTGTCTCGACAAAATATGACAAGTTTAATTATGCAACTTAATGCATTCAAATATTATACCGATTAAATATAATATCATAAATTTGTATATTTTTATTTTCCAGAGGTACCAGTGGCATTGATATTGATTTGCGAAGAGTAGACATAGATCAATGCCCATTACCACCGGAATCTAATCAACTCAACATATTCGCTGCCAGTGACAAATGTAAAAAGCGTACTACCAAGGTAATAATAATAATAATATAAATTAAATAATATAATACAAGTGTGTAAAATGAAAAGAAATCAATTTTTTAATTTGTGTACTAATTTATTATTCTCGCGTCGATATATCGATTCAATATTCGATTTTATTTTAATTTATTTCATTTTATTTCATTTTAATTATTAATTCTCTTAAGCACACACAAAATAGTGATTTATTATAATTCGCCAAATTAATTAATTACTTATCAATTTTATCAAATAATCGATCCCTAAAAGTGTTCCTACGAAAATTGCATCGAACGAACGAAGGAAGTAACGAAGGAAACGCGAATAAAAATTTGACACTTTTATCTTGAACGAAATTACTCGGATGCTTGTTTGTTCGTTCGTTCGTTCGTTAGCTCGTTCGTTCTTATCACTTATTATTTCTTTCTATTTTATGATTTTATTTCTTGTTTTACATATCACCGTGACAAAAACGAGGAACGAAGGTTGTGTTCCAACGTTTGTCGTAACATGAGCCATTACATGCAAACACTCGCACATACACACGTAAAAACAAGAACGCATTCTCTCACAGTGCTATGCAAATTCCAATCGTAAATATTCGAATTCAACGATACGGAGTGTACCACCGATTGATTTCCCAACAACGAATGGAATTTATTTTAACCGAACACGGCTAAAATGCATATCTACAAAAAAAAAAAAAAAAAAAAGAAAAAAAAGACAACATTATTTTAATAAATATACCAATAGAATTATGCATACAAAACAAAGCATATATATTATAATATATTTAATAAAATAAGGGATAAGAAAATTTGTTGTCTAAAAAGAAAAAGAAAAAAAAGGGGGGGGGGGGGGAATAGGAAAGATATAAAATGTTTAATCGTATAATCGTTAAATTTTTAGTGCGTTGCAATTCCTGGATTGGGATTTCGTCGGGGAAGTTATCGATGTATCTGCAAACGTGGATTTTATTATCCTGACACGAAGTCAACCAAACGTTATTACAATGGAACGGTGATCGAGGAAGAGTATGAAAAATTGATGATGGTATGTTATCAGACAGTGTCTTTTAGTTTAAATCATCGCAAACATTTCAATTTGATCCTAATCTATCATCATTCCTCCCTGACGATTATACTACGTACGAGATACGGATAACGCATGTGATAATAATGTTTGTCATATTTTTCTTGGCGGGAGGAAAAAAAAAAAAAAGAGATTAAACGTTAAAAAATATTCGTAAAATATTTATCGTAGGGATGATTTAACGAAAAATTTCTCTTCGTTATATTTTACGAATAGATAATAAATGTGGAAAAAGGGATGGAAAAATTTCGTCGTTCCGTTCGAAGAAAATCGTGAAAATGTATTTACGTGTGAAATATCGTCGTCGTCGTCTAGTTTCGAGACGTGTAATATCTACCGACAATAGGTTGCTGTCGATAACAATTTTATTTGAAAGACAAAGTAATAAAAAAGAAAAAAAAAATAGCTAGAGACCGTGAGAAAGAAAGAGAGAGAGAGAGAGAGAGAGAGAGAGAGAGATGTGAAAATAGTGCGTCTGCTCTTCCATTTCGATGTCAACAACGTTTTACGTTTTACTATTACAACGTGTATCGAAATT